CCAATTGAATTTAAAACAATGTTGGATACACGATGGGCTTGCCAGGTGCATGCTGTATGTGCAATTGTAGCAAGATTTACTGTTCTATTAAATTTATGCGGTATGTTAACATGAGTGACAGCAATCGAGACCGTGCATTAAATGTCCCACACATTTTGACTCAAATTGACCAGAATATTCATATACTGTATGCTGTTTCTGAATGGCATTTTATGTAAAGCAAAAGGAGCGTCGGATATATTGCAAAGTTTCAAGTTAGATTACTTGAAAGCAGCAGATCTCATTGAGAATCTTCTAGTAGAGTTGCAAACCTACAGATGTGACGAGAAAGATGCACATTATTTTCAACGTTCTTGTGGCATAGCTACCAAAAATGACCTGACATGTTGCCGTCGGCGTCAGTTACAGAGCTCCACGCTTTCAAACATAGACGACTTTGCAGTTCTAACCACACTTAGGAAGTGGGACGCCATACGAGATTCATCTGATATGGATTTGTTTGTTTTGGATTTCGCGCAAAGCTACACAAGAGCTATCTGCACTAGCCGTTTCTAATTTAGCAGTGTAAGACTACAGGGAAGTCAGCTAGTCATCACCACCCACCACCAACTCTTGATCTACTCTTTTACGAACGCATAGTGGGACTGACCGTCACATTATAACGCCCTCACGGCTGAACGGGTGAGCATGTTTGGTGGGACAGGAATTTGAACCCATGAACCTCAGATTGCGAGTCGAGCGCCCTATCCACCTGGCCTTCTGATATGGAACGAGGCATATTGTTTCTAACCATTGATAGTTTTATTGGAGAACTAAGCAAACGATTTAGTGGGGGAAATCTTTAAATATTCTGCTCCCTGTCGGCAATTGATCGCAAGTCTGAAAAATTCCTCAATTTTTAGGCTATTAAACCTCTTGCAGCCCATTATAGACTGAATCTTGAAGACATACAAATGGAACTGAAGCAATCTAAGAGAATGAATGAGCGTTCAGGTGCGACATTTGGAGCAATCAAAGAGTTTTCAAAACATCTCAAACTCCTATTTATGGTTTTTACTGAACTTTACAATGTTATAAAGTAACAATAATTCTCCCAGTTAGCACAGCCGGCTGTGAAAGGAGCTTTAGCAAGCTGAAACTGATCAAAAACCAATCTGGCAGATAAGAGAATGAAGAATCTAACAGTAATTAACGCACACAGCGAACGTGCTCTTTCCGTTGATGATATTGTTGACAGGTTTGTTACTAAGTTTCCAAATACAAGATTAACGTTGTTTTAAAGTCAAAGAGGAGGGTTGTTCCGGCTGGTGTCTTGATGAGTTCGTGTTTCTGACCATTATTCATCAATCCACTTTTAAAGGGACTTGTTATCTCTCCCCCTCCCTTTTTTTTTCTCTCAAAGTTTGTAGTGCATAGTGGAGGGATTTACATATTGTGATAAAAGTTTAGATAAACGACCTTTACACTCCAGATGTATATATATTTGTTTTTTTTATTACTACCAACGTTTCACTTTTACAAACCATGTAAACCTTATCTAAACTTTTATTAGAATGGTCAAAGATTTTTAATCCTTTCCAAGGCCTGTGAGTACTTTGGGGCTTAAAAACTCAATACAAGGTATTTATTGAAACCCAACGTCGGCTCAAATGTAATTTAGCATGCAAAAAAGGGGGTGGGGAGAATAACGATTCACTTTAATATTGTTGCGTCAGCGAGGTCACGTGTCTAGTATCACGCCACATCCTTCTCAAACCTTCGTGAATTGTCGGGAGATTACTAGATATAGGGTTGTCTGGTATATAAAAGACCGGCCACTAATCACGGAGGGGTATTGAGTAATAGAACTGCAGTCAGAGAGTGTGTAATTGAATTGAGTATTGTTAAAGTCGAGCACGTGAGACGTTTGTTATAGCACGACTGTTGAAATTAAGTGTATCACAAAGTTACATTCAGAAAGAATAAACCAGTTTTATTTAAGAAAGGACTTGTGTCGCTAAAGTTTCGTCGGAACGAATTTACGGAAAAGTAACTAACGAACGGAGACGTAACAAATTGGTGTCAGAGAGTGGGACGAAAAAAAAATGGAAACGAGAAGCGACAAATCAAACTACAGCTTAGCATATTTGATGGCAGCAATACAAGAACAGCAAAAGAAGCAAGAAGAACGAGAAAATAAACAAGAAGAGAGATTACAGCAGTTGTTGGAGGAGAAAGAAAAGAAACAAGAAGAGAGACAACAGCAGTTGCAAGAAAACCTGCAACAGTGGCAGCTCGAACAGCAAAATAAACAAGAAGAGAGATTACAGCAGTTGTTGGAGGAGAAAGAAAAGAAACAAGAAAAGAGACAACAGCAATGGCAAGAAAACCTGCAACAGTGGCAACTAGAACAAGAAAGGAAACAGGAAGAAAGTATCCAACAGTTGCAGAAAAGTCAGCAGCAACTACAGGAAAATCAACAACAGTGGCAAGAAGTACAAATGGAAAACATTAGTAAATTTAAAAGCGAATTAGATACATTAAAGGATGATTTATTGTCTTTTACACAAGGAGGATACATAAACCATCGACTTAATCAGCCCCAGACAATGGCAAGCCCCTTCCAGACCCCGCAGCTAAACCCCAATGCAGACATCTTCAGTCCTGTGAGAAGTCACATCCCAGATATGAATGTCAGTACTAGGAGTGATCCAGTACGAAGGAAGCCACAGGAATACAATTCAAGCTCGTTGCCAGATATACTGCTTTCTGCTTCTCTGTCCATCCGTTCATCTCTTCCAGTAGCTCAAATTGTGCTCTATATGCTTCCCACGGTGCTTTTCCGGGGACAACCACTGGAAATACTTGGACAGTTGTCAGCAGACGACAGACACAACTATAGAGTACTGGTAGTGGCTCTAGAACTCAGGTACGGAACCCATAATCAGTCAGAAGTCTACAGGGCTAGGTTCAGGACACAGGACTTGGAAAGAATGGCACACAAGGCCTACCCAACTGCACCACCCGATCTCCTCAAGTTGTTGCTGAGGGATC